AATAGTTGGTAACCCAATTTCTTAGGGTGTAGGCTTCTTTGGTAGCTGACTAGGATAAAACTCAAAAGAAGCTCGTGGGATGCCAACAACAGCCAGAATGTAAGATTCCAGAGGAAGAAAAAAATGCTAATGAATTATGCTAACCCTGTGGCAACATAGCCATGTGGGTACTGATAAGCGGCAGGGGAGATAGCGCTCAATGCCATTTCTAGGGCCACTGAGAGGATACATCTCTTAACAAAGAATATGAATGATGTCTACCACATAGCAAACAGCTAAAGAATTCCATAAAATATGAAGCCAATCCTTGCATCTTACATATCTCTGTACAAAACACAGCTTTCACCTCCAGCCAGAAAAGGAGCTGTTATTTACAAATCTCTCTCTCTCTCTTTCTCTCTCTGAATGTGTTTTAGTTATTTATTTCCCTGTTCCCTCTTTTCTTTGATCTGATACAGTACCAGCTACTAGACATGTGGTATTATTTTTAAATGTAATAAAGAATAAATAAATAATATAGAAGACACCAATGACGTGAGATTATTTTTACTCTTTATACTTTATAAATGTAGATTATTATAGGAAATATGTTGATAAATCTTAACAGAGCTCATTAGATAGTATTTACCATTACAGTCAATGAAACCAAGCTGAGTAAGTGATATTGTTATAAAATTTATTTATTAACCTACAATGGTAAATAAGTATAAATAAATAATGAAATAAAAGAAGTAAAAGTAAACACAAAAATAATTATGGATGTTATTACTTTCAAAAATTTTCATTCTTCCTCCTCTGTATGAATCATCCATTATATATCTGATGCTTTTCTGCTCCATTAATTACTACATAGAGTTCTAGTGTCAAATATACTATTAAACCCTTGAAGAAAATAATTTAAGACATTAAAATTACTATGTAGTGACCAAGTGTTTTCACCCACATATCTATCTGCAGATATATATATACATATATATATATTATATACATATATGTACACCTTTATAGATGGTGATCATTGATAGCTATCATCTTTTATCAGTCTTCTTGAAAAGACAAAATCGTGAGGTTCCATACAGCAAGTACAGAAAACAATACTAATTGATCCATAATCAATGCGATGTTTTTACCATTTCTCTCACTTAGAATTATGCATTTCATATTGGAAATGTGTACAGATTTAAGGGATGTATGCCTCCCATTTTTCCCATAAAGTTTATTTTCATTGTTTCAGCCTTAATCACAGTGATGATGATGATGATGATGGCACACATTCCTTCCCATTTGAATGGTCAATGGTTAAATGTCCCCATAGATAATCCTGAAGATCATATTACTATGGTGCTACGTATATGGACATCGAGAAATAGAGAAGTATATTTTTCTCAGACTCACACAAAATTAGAGAGGAGAAGCCAAGAGTAGAACCCAGTTCATACAGAACAGATCTAAGGCAGGACACACCAGCCTTGTGAAGGTAATTAGCTAGAGTAACATAATTACCTAAATTATAGAACAGGAAAATAGTGTCATATTTACAAACCTAATTATATCAAGTAGGGAAATTACATGAATGATAGCAATTATATGGATGGAATTCACATACTTTATACGCTTTCTTTTTTATACCTAGTGCTTTAAAACTAAAAGTTTGAAATATAACAGGAACCAAGAAAAAAAATAACTACAGCACCAGCAGGAGCCAAAAAATTCCTGAGGTTACATTATGGCACCATTTTTTTCCATCTGTATAATTTTATTCAACTCACTTAATCTTTGTTTTGAATTTTCTCATCTATAAAGTTAAAGTAATGTCAACAATACCTAGAGAAAATAGATTATAAAAATGTATAGGTCACACCCATAGTCAAAGTTCTCTGTCCCTAGATAGATAGCTAATAAAAGACAGCTACTGACCTTTTGATTAGTAAGTTGTAATACTATATGAACACCTAGTAACTATTTTAAACAGTTATTTTTTTGCTACATTTTCTTATTCTTTCTTGTCAAGTGGATTAATATTTGCATGGGATATGCATGACATATGGATCCAGTTATGACTCAGAGTGACACCAATGGAAGTCTGGAGCTAAAACATGTCCTATTATTTGTTGTACAAGCATTTGAATATAGTATACTGATTCTGGTGAAATGTAATATGAAATCACTGATGTAAACATGTCTTTGAAATTTAAATGCATTTCTTCTCATTTTCTTCTTAACATTCTGTAGTTAAGAATAGGGCAATTATTTTCCTATCACATATAGAGATACATTTAGTCAAAGGTACAGAAATTTGATAAAAACTATAATAAAGTAGCTATACAGCTATGACATACAAAAGCTTGAGTTACAACAAAGTAAAGATAACTGGTACAAGGTTAGGTTATTTAGTAAAAAGACATAGGAAAACTTTTTAAGTCTATAAAGACACAATTGGCCTCTGTGCAGAGAAAAAGAGGCTGCAGAGTGCTTGTCTCTGAATAGGACACCTATTTCAAACCTCTGCCTCCCAAGGCTCAGGGATCATTGCAGAAGAGTACGCAAGAAGTGTGTAAGAGCCAGAGGTGGTGGATAACCACACTGAAACAGAATCTTCCAGACAGCTGGCCAGTTACTCATATGAACTCACAGCAATGGTGACAGCATGCACTTGTCCTATGCAAGCTCAAACCAGATAAAACCCCAGCCTAGACATGGGGATATAAAAAATCCCAACCCAACCTAAGAAACTCAGTAAATGATGGCTGCTGGGAGGGGTGAAGACAGTGTCTTACAGGTAAAAGGAGGTATGGATATGGGAGGAAATCTAAATACCCTCAAACTACATTGTATGAAAATCACAAAAATTCAATAAAAAAAGAAAATTAAATTATATGCCTAAAAAAGTCTATAAAAATAAAAATAAATTTTAATGTAATTCAATACAAACAACCCAGGTAAATTTATTGGTTATTGTTTAATTTACTTTTTTTGTTTTTATTGAATTTTTGTGTATTTCATACAGAATATCTCAAACAACCTTAATCATCTTTATAACCCCATCCCCACTGGCACTCTCCCATAACACCCTCCCCCCACTAAAACCCATATACTCTGTCACTCGTGTTAAGGCCTGCAGTATCAAGTCAGTGTCCCTAGATGTTCCCCAGTGCAAGTCCATCTACTGAGGTCTAGTCAGTCTATCTAGAGTCTCTTGTTTTAGGAAGATCAGCTCTTCCTCACCTAGCAGTAATCAGTTGCCAATGTTTCTTCAGCTAATATTGGGATCTTCTGTTCATTTCCCCAATTCTATTCAAGGTTTTTGTCTGCCTGAGTTTGCAAGGGACTTGTATATGCTGACATCATTGCCATAGTATCATATGAGCAGCAACCCAGGAGCTTGTAGGACTCTTTCCATATGGTCATGCATCTCCCCTCTGGCTCTTACAATCTTTCCACACCCTCTTCCATGATGGTCCCTAAGCCCTGGGTGGGTGAAGTTTAATATAGGAGTCTTTTCCATGGACCAGAATTCTGTAAACTTAATCTCTATGTTTTGGCAATTTATGACCTTTTGTGTTCCCAAAAGAAGAAATGCAATTGGGCCATTGATGTGTTGCTTTATATGAACAGAAATCAGGAAATGCAAAATAAGTGCATGGTAACACATAGTTATTATATTAAGAAAAAATAATGCAGAGAATTCTAAATTTTGGCAAATTTATAGGTTTGTCAGGATTCATGACTAGGTGGGTGGAGAACTAACCTGCTACATCTTTGGAAAATAGCTTTTTTCTATCACTGTGCTCAGATGAAGCCTCACATCTTCTTTGACCCGTTGATTCAGTTCCTCTATGTACATCCAGAGAAGTTCTGTGGGATACTTTTTAGAATACAATCACAAGAGTATCTTTAAAAGTAGAGGGGAATAATTCAAGTGTTTATGGACAGTAGAATGTATACCAGTGACATATATTCAAACAGTTCTGAATAAGAAGAGTGTATGACAGTAAAAAAATTTAGTGTAAAATTTTCCATCAATGTGAATAGGACAAAAAGTACATAGTTAAGAACATTCCATTGTCATAGAGTAAGTAAAATTATACAGCATACTTTTAGAGTCACATGCTATTTTTAAAATCTGATTTAAAAATATAAGGCTTGAGTATGATACACAAATTCTATGTTTCTGGTAATTTTGGGTATGGACAGAAATATAATATGAAAGGCCAATTAGCTTAATAGGAATACTTGGTGAGTAATGCAATATGATAAGACCAGAATGTCCCCAAATGAAAAGCGATGATGGCATATCATCCTGATTCCAATGATGAATGTTCATTAAGTTCATGCTTGTTCTTTTTGTATGTATGAATATACAAATAATATATATATATACGTGATTCTACTGATGAATGGTCTTTAAGTGCATGCTTGCTCTTTTTGTATATGTACAAATATATATGTATATACAACTAATATATGTGTTTGTTACAGATATACTCACAAAATATTAAGCAAATTTAATTAAGTTTCTTAAAGATAAAGAACCTCAACAGAGCTGACACGAATATTTTATAGAACTTAATATCTGCATTCAATAATTGCTAAACATTTTTTAATTTTACCACATTTCTAGGAAACTGTTAGATCACATAAGCAAAGTAAAAGTGGCTAAGAAGAAGGTGTGAGAGAGAAAGGATAGTTGTAAAGAAAGCAAGCTCACTGTGAGGTGGAGTGGTCCTAATTAGCATTGTAAAAGCAATTGTGGTGGGAGCCACAGACAGTTTTGACTTATGCTAGTTGACTTCTACTTGCTTGTTTTCACTGTAGTTTTATTGTATGTACTTTATCTTGTATGCACTTTCTAAGAGTTTTAAGCTACTATGAACCGAAACTTGATTAAACTGGGTGCTGCTAGTGCTGCGTGATTTTAGTTCTCACTTGTGATAGCTATGCATGGGCATTTGAGGGCTTAGTTTTCATTGCCTTCTTTGTTTGTTCCCTTCCTTGTCAAGGTGAAGGTGTGGTTCCAGAACAGGAGAATGAAGTGGAAGAGAGTCAAAGGAGGACAGCAAGGAGCTGCAGCTCGAGAAAAAGAACTGGTGAATGTGAAAAAGGGAACCCTTCTCCCCTCGGAGCTGTCAGGAATCGGTGCAGCTACCCTCCAGCAGACAGGGGACTCGCTAGCAAATGACGACAGTCGCGACAGTGACCACAGCTCAGAGCACGCACACTTATGATACATGCAGAGATCAGCTTCATTCTCAGGAAAGCAACATTATGATGGCAAATCTTACCCAAACATCGTTTACATGGGAGATGACTATGGCAGTGACGTTTAGATAATTGAATGCAGGCATCTCAAGTCTGTTTTTCATGATTGATAGAAGGTTTACACTAAGTGCCTCTTATTGAAGATGCTTCAACAGTCAAGATGGAGGTGAACTTGCTTTGCATAGTCCAGATATGTCTGTTCCTCAACGTGACAGTTAGATATGTGTTTGCATTTGCTTGCACAGAAAATTAAAATACTATCATGAGCAAACTCAGACAATTTTTTTTCCTCCAAGATGCCTCCTTAGTGAAGATGCCAAAACTGAACTTGCTTTGAACATCCTTTTGTACCAGGTCATGTGTGACAGTGGCAGGTATTTGCTTTTGCTTGCACTGAAAGTTAAATTGCTATCAAGTTAACCCATGAAATATTTTGTCTTGAACAGCCACAATGCCTGAAATCACCAAGTGGATAAAAAAATGTATTTTAACTCTGTATATATTACCCCTAAGTCATTTTCCTGTCTTCACTAATTTTAGCAGTTCATTCATATTAGCTAATGAAAATAGGCTCTCCTGTTGACAACCACAGCCAGCTTCTTGTATTTTTATTCATTTTGTCAGTCAGAGACAATCAGTGTGTGCTTATTTGTGTTCAAGTAGAGAAAAATGCAGTAGAGTCTGATAGGACACATTCTTGTACCACAGACAAAACAAATCTTCTGTTGCATTTACTACCAACTGCTGCTGATACATTGTACTAGAACTTACCTATCTCCTCAGCTCTTCCTATCTTATAGCTTGAAAGAAATTAGACTCATAGGCAAATCAGTTACCTTGCAGAAAGAACTTGTGTGGCAGACATCTGATTTTATTTCTTTAAAATGTTTGCTTCCATTAATGTGATTCAGTTAACAAGGAAAAGACTTATTTCTTATTGGAAATGGTGTCAAATAAAATTCAAAACAAAGTTGATTCTTCAGTAGGCTAGATGACAAATTCTGAATGTCTGCAAATTAAACTCAGTAAAAGTACATTATTTTTCATATGCTATATACTCACACAGAACAAGTGTATTTTGTAAAATAAAGTTTAATAAATGATACTTTGTAAATAATTGTTATCTCTTTACTGTGAATTCTTTAATTTTAGTAGGTTTATTTGTTTGTTTATTTGTTAATTTAAGACAGGCTCACACTCTAGGCCAGCCTGGTCTAGAACTTACTATGTAGTTCAGGCTGGCTTTGAACTCACAGCAATCCTTCTGCCTCAGTCTCCTAAGGGCTAGAATTATATGTTGGAGCCACCATGCCAGGTTAAATTTAATAGATATTTATCTAATTAATTTATTTAATTTCAGTGCTTAGTGCCAAATACAGGGCCTCTGCCATGCTAGATGAGTGTCTTATCACTGAGCTATATATCCAGTGTGAAAGAATATGTTAAATTCAAAATACCCTGTCTTTGATGTGAAATATTAACTAAACATGCTAACAAAGATGCTCAGTCTTAACCGATATTGCTGATTTAAGAAGTCAAGGACTACTCTTCCTGCTTTGAAGGACAAGGCCCTATGTATCACTTTATCACATCACTTTTTGTTTGCTGTATATTTTACTCAGAAGTAATTAGAAATGGTACCAGTGTGTCTCTTTTCTACAATTATTTAGAAATAGAAATAGTAAATATTTTCAAAAACCTTATTTGATTAGTTTCATTTCCCTTATAATTATTAGACTGACAAAATATATCTCATATCATTTAACTTAACTTGTTGTGATACAGAGACTATTCAGGAAAAAAATAGTAAACAATTATGTTATTTGTATCACAAATCTCCTTTGTGCAATAAACTTAATTATTTATCAATATTTCTAAATTAGAGTTGGGAAAGAGAACATTCAGATTGGCAGAAAGCAGGTATTTTTCTATCAATTATTTGAATGAATAAAATGTATATTTGTATTGATGATAATCTACTTGGATGGACTGGCAAATTTTATTGTAGAATAGGGTTTAAATTTTTAAATTGATTTTCATTTTATGTGTATGAGTGATTTGCCTGCAGGTATGTAAGTGCACTACTGTCATGAAATGCCTGTGGAGGTCAGAAGAGGGTGTCGGATCCCATGTAACTGGAATTACAGATGACTGTTAACCACCATGTGGGTAGGTACTAGGAACTGAAACCAGGTCCTCTGCAAGAGCAGCCAGTACTTTTAACTGCTGAAACATGTCTCCTGCCCCTAAAATCGGATTTAAATTAAAAACATCTTGACAAATAGAGTAAGCAGGAAGATATAAATCAAATTGTGTTCAATAGAGACAAGGTAAGGGATAATTCATTTGAACAGGAAAATAATTTCCAGAAATAACAGGAAAGGGCTGCTTAGAAGAAGCTAAATATGACACTTAAATTTGTTGTGAAATGGAAAAATGTATGTAAGAACTACATTTTATTATGATCAATAAAGTTTAGTGAAATGACTGTAAATACAAAAGACATTGAGAGAATTGGAGAAGGCATGCTTAGAATGGATTATGCCCTTATAAGGGAATGGTGAGCTATTGTAAAATGAAATTTGACTTCAGAGACACAAATAGGAAAGGCCAAATGGCTGACCAACATGTACAATTTGTTTACAATGATTCAGAAGACCCACTGGATACAGAAGCTCATGGTCAATATGCTGAGTGATATGTAAGTGGTAATGGTGAGTACAAGAAGTTTCCTTTTGTTCCTGCAGTGCTGGGAATTGAGCAAGAGCCGTGCAGGTGATAGACAATTTCTTCAATGAATATATTTTAGGAAAGTAAATATATTGTCATGTATTATCTCGGTTACTCCAAAAGTGACATTGATCAAAAGGAGAAATGGAGAGACCGAAAGAGAGACAGAGATGAAGTTACCCCTGGTTTGCTTTCCCTCCTTACTAGCATCCAGTCATCCTATGGTATCTTATTACATACTGTCCAGTATTTTTAATGTCGTTCCATCTCAGATCCTGTAACTGTGGAAATTCATAACAGCATGAAAACACCTTTCTCTGGAAGTGGGATATAATCATCATTGTTACGGTGATCTTTCAGCACTGCTCACAGGAATGAGCACTATATATTTTCTCCAAACTTGACCCATGTATTTTAACCCTTCAGTAACTTGATCCCAATTACCTTTTACTTTCTAAACTCACTTATAGCTTTCCATGGAAGTTGATCTACAAATACTTTCATAAACTTAGGTTTTTAAGTCGTTTTTATTTTATCTTTGTCCAAAGCTAGCTGAGGTAATTGAATAATATTTCTTCTCATAGCTATTTCAACATTTTTTGCTATCAGCTTTTACAGAGTACTATTAAAGGTATTGGAGAAAGGAACAAAAATGTTAATGGAAAAATGATTGCTATACCAAATTAGGAGGGCCTATAAAATATGTTACTTAATGTTAACTTTTTCTTTATGCTAGTGATTTTCTAATAGCATGCATTTTTACAAATCATACATTGTCAATTTAAAATGCTTGAATATATTTGAAAGTCACTAATCATTAAGATTTTTTTCATGTCCTATTTTCCCTTAAGCTACCTATTATTCAAATCCATTGTCAAGAATGTCAGAAAAATGTTTTATTAATTAGTGAATATTTAGTAAGCTCTCCTTAAAATATTGCTTAGTTTTATTAAGGATGTTTTTCAGAAACAGTTGCAAAGAATGAATTTGTACATAAAAATTATTGTCATGATCATTTCCTGTAAGAAATAAAGGAACAACAACAACAAAAAACCTAGAATAGCCCACACACTTTTCATCCCAACCCATAGGAAACAGGGGCAGGTAGATCTCTATGAGAACTAGGCCAGCCTGGTCTACACAGCGAGTTCCAAGCCAGCTGGGGCTAAAGAGTGATCCTGCCTAAAGTAACCAAAAGAAAAAAAAAGACGTGGAGGAGAGATTTTATTATACAGCAATCTCAGATTTACACTTACCTTTATATTTTTGCTCTTCTGAAGAAATTCACTGAGCTGAACATACATTTTTTATAGGGAAGAGTAATCAAAGGGCTGAAAGATGCCTACACTATCTTTAAATTAAGCATGCATTCTCTCTTCACATACTGGTGGTTGAAACCTTACTTACTACATAATTTTTATACTTGATAGATATTAAGCTTTAAAATATATAACTGCTAGCTTGAGTTGATGAAGCAATAGTAACAAACTATGAATATTGCTGAGCTATTAATTTTTTCTACATTATCTGTTTGGCTTTCATTTTCTTTAGTGAAGAATCCAATTTTCTTTGGATTTATCAACTTTAGAATATGGCAATATTTCATAGACTACCTGTACATGGTACAATAAGTGTACTGGTGCTAAAAAATAAATTAAAAAGTAGACAGAGATTGTGCTATATCTTCCAAAATATACATCTGCATCTGAACGAACACTGAGAGGTAGATTGAAAGAAAAAAAAAAAAAAAAAACCTTTGGAAGACCCTTGTGGTAAAAACTCTTTACTGCCGGTGAAGCAGATATAAGGAGGAGTGTAAAATCAATACTGTATATTTCTAACAAAAACATTATGTCTGAGACAGTTAAAGACACAGAAAATTTATGATATCAGTAATGATAATAAAATCCCCATTTATGAAAAAGTTCCAGTACATGAAAATCATTGTATAGGTTGCTATAATGAAAGCCAAATAGAAAAAATAAGAAATAATTTCTGTTCCATATTAACACTTTGGTTTCTGAATTTTAAAATATGTATTTTATGAGTAAACACAGAATTAAAAAATACAGAAGTTACTTTTATGGGGAAAACTATATAACATGCTGATATTACAAAGTCAATAAATCAAGAAACATTTCAAAATTTTACATTTTTTTAAATAATGAAAATTTTATAGAGTTTTTATGCATTTCATATAATAGATATTAATAAGATTTGTAACCGTTCCCCCATTTGTGGCTTTTGACAGCCCCCCTCATTGAATTTCATGCATTCTGTCATATATGTTAAGACCTATCCAGTGAAGCATTTGTACCCAGTTATCCCTAGGTGCAACTTCAACCACTGGAGTCTAGTCAGCCTATCTAGAGTCTCTCTGATAGTCGCCATTGTTTCAAGTTTTCTATGACCTGAAAGCCTCTATTTCTTATGCTCATGTAACCAACCCTGGCTGTTACAATCTTTCCACTAACTCTTCCACAATGGTCCCTGAGTCATGGGTGGGAGTGGTTTATCATAGGAATCCTGTCCCAGGATACTCTGCAGTCTCTTATTCACTAAAACTTGGCCAGTGTGGCCTTCTGTGTGCATCACACTCTGTTGTTTGAAGAAGCTTACTATTATCTCCACACTCTGTTCTGCTACGTCCCATGAGCCTTAGGTGTAGAGATTCCACTGTAAATGTGTCACTTAGGTCTGGGCATATCTCCAAAATTAATTCTCTCTGTGTGACCAGCTGTGGAACTCTGCAATAGCCTCTGTCTGTTGTAAAAAGCAGCTTTTTTGATGAGTGGTGTATGGTATACTTGTCTGTAAATATAATGACGTGTATTTATCACACAGTAAGAATTTTTATTGTCTAGAGATATGACAGAGATAGGGTTTTCTCTAGGATCTATGACCACGTTAGCCATGTGGATTTGGCTTATTTACAATGCCACCCATGTGTGCCAAAATGATTTTACTTTTAAGTTTGCTATAATTTTAAGGTCATCTATGCCAATGTTTGATTAATAGTTCATACCATTCCATAATGGTATATTAATTGTATTTGGTGATTTGCTTTGTTCTTAGAGTCTTTGAATTTTGTAGCATGTTCCTTAGGGAACTAACCATGAGCAAATATGGAAGAAGCAATAGTTGACACTTTTTTGAGTATTATTCACTCCAGTTCTTTGTTTAAATCCTTTGAGTGCTGGGAAGGAGCAGTCAAAGCTGTACTTGGATTACCTTTCAGAGAGGCCACAGTTAAAATACACAGAGGCATTTATAACAGATTTCTTCTGCAAATTTTTCTAGTTGAAAATGTTTTTCAAGTTGCTGTGGCCAAACCAATAATGATTGTGCTATTTATGCTCTTAATCT